TTTTAAATCAATATGGGATTTACTTCTATAGACAAAGCAATTGGCTGCTTTCTATTTTTTAAACTGCAAGGACTACACTACAATTTAAGCACATCAATACAAATCGTTCTGTCCTGGTGGAAACTTGCCGTAGTGAGCTGCCTAGTTAAACCTAAGCCTGTATGATTCATGAACTTGTTTCCTTCACTAAAAAACGTACAATGAAAAGAGGAAAAAAAAAGGTGCAGATAGACACGACTGGTCGTCAAAGCCAGCTGACACCCAAACGAGTCTGCAGTCGAGTGTCAGATTTTAAAAATATATTTACTTATTTAAACTCCCTGCTAGGTTAACAAGCAGCCAGCACTTGTATGTCGTGTGCCATGGGACTCAGCTGCTGCATGAAGAGCTGGTGCTGGCACACACGTTTGGTTTTAGCTAAATACAGGAACAGATAAGCTTCTGGTTTTCTAATAAAGACACCGGAATGTCCAAAGATGCGCATCTATAATTACCGACAGACGGCACCTCTGTATGCAAAGCCCTCTTTGAAGAGAGGTTTCTGCATGCAATATAGCTTGTATGCAAAGGAGGGCAAAGCAACTTCCATAACGAGTTCAACGGTACTATTAATCTTCACTTCATTAGAGACAGGATTTCATGCTAAAACTGTCACTGTTCACATTCTGAAGAGCTTTGCTGAGAAAAGCAGAGAAACTCAGACACGTCCAAAGGCACCCTGAGCCCGCGTTTGCGGACACAGCTCGCGGAGCACAGCAAGGTGCAGCCGTGCACTCCAGCCCTGCCACGGCACACAAACCTTAACAAATCCCCTTTTTCTACAGCAGAAGTACAAGCGATCAAGAAAAATCTCTGTATTTGTAATACAACTTACATCTTTCAGACTGCAGTTATTGAAAGAGATTAAAGCCAATAAAGTTACACTTAGACCCAAACAGATGTTTCCCTTCTTTGCCGTTGAAGACTCCAAGAAGTGATGTCCCAACCATTATCTTGTTCACCCGAACAGGCTGCTGAAATGATTTTAACTTACTGCTTCAACCCTGTTCTGTGGCACGCATTATCACGCCCAATCACCCCTTTGAAATTCCAGGAAAATCCCTATCTGTTCTGACAGGGAGCTGGTTATCATCCCTGCCTTGTAGCAAGCAGCCACATATTACAAAAATACCGGAGCTCTCGGGTTCAGAGCATTGTACAACGCACCCTTCAAGGTGAAGAAAAGAAGAGGAGGGGAAATGAGAGGGGTCAATTATCATCTATTTATAAAGCCATACATTGGGCCAAAAACACAACCAAAGAGGAAAGCCCCCTCAAAAAAAACAAAATTAAGGGTAACGGGCAATTATTTCTGCCATGAAGTGTGGTACAGCCCACCACAGGAGGAAGAGGCTTCTGAGTCAACCTTGTAAACTGGGTACCAAAATAGGGGGAAATGGGGGTGGGGAGAGAAGTATAACACAGAGCTGCCTTTGTCAGCCATCGGACAAGATGTTCCTCTCAGCCTGGTGGAAGGGAAGGAATCGTACCAGCAGCTCCGGAGAGCACAGGGAAACGCTACGGGGCCGAGGTCTATCCCCAAGGTTTTCGTTGTAGCATCTCCCCCAACGGACAGAGAGATGGGAGCACACAGAGACACCGGGATTTGTTACCTTGTCCAAACCAAAAAACCCAACCGCACACGCTACCCAGAGGGAAAGGACGGATCCATCTCCAAGTGACATTCACTGCTGGGGCGGCACGGGAGGCAGCCAGCTTCAGCAGCTTTGCTCCTATAAAATGTTTATTTAACCGGAAAAAATCCCAACAGTACTAGTATTTAATGACAGAAAACTCAGAAATGCAGTCTTAGCATTGCAGTGCAATCGCTAACGTTTTCAAACCCCTGTCTGTAATTTCATAGCTCTAATCATTCTGTGGCGCAGGAAAGAGATAAAGCACACTGAATTCCACTTTTTCTGAGATTTTATTAACATCGGCCATCCAGGTGAGTAATTGGAGAAGTCAAGGAAGAGAGCGGATGCTTATCTCTCTAATATTTCTATTCACAAAAAACCAGGCAGGCTTAAACACTCATAATCTATTAACTATGTTTTCTCCACATTTTCCCAGTAATTAGAAAGCGCAAATGCATCTACTGCTACATGTAACAAGGATAACTTTATTCAGTTTATAGATTTTCTTCATTCACTACCTACTAAGGCAGTGTTTGCCTGACTGAACCTTCATGCTCTGCATGTTAGAAGTATACAGCATCTACCCGGACAAGCAAATTTGATTGGTTCAAGATTATTTATGCCTACAAAGTTCAGGAAAAGAAAAAGATGAAGAGGTAATGCAGACAAACCCACTCTGAAACCAGCATTTCTGCCTAAGAAGTCAAGATAGAGTTAAGCCATGAGGGGAAAAAAAACAAAACAAAACATACTGATAAATTAAAAAGCAAAAAGAGAAAGATGATATAATTTAATTTTAAATTATCTTTTTATGAATACTGTCTAGTTTAGCAGTGCTCAGATTTTTCGGTGCTTCTGAGATGACAGATGTCTTATTGTAGACTATTTATGTATGTTGTAACCCCTTCGGACCAGCCTGGCATCGCGCTGCCGGCAGCACAACAGGACACACGAGCAGAAGCATCCACGGTCAGGTCCTTCGCATTTTCATACGCTCCAGTCCCCTGATCCTAACCCTGCTCCCCAGGCGGCCAGATGTGCTACTGGAAAAACAACTGTCTGACACAAATGCTGACAAAGGGGACCATCCTGCTTGTTCTGAGGAGCCTTTAATTTAAAGAAAAGAGAAAAGCTGGTGATTCCCAATCTCCCAGAAAGTTTGCAGAAACAAGATCTACCATTTTTCCATCTCTGAGAGCAGAAAAAAAGCTGAAGCTGCTGCTCACCATTGCAGTGATATGGGTCGCAAACATTTTATCACTGCCGCCTTCTCAACATTGGAGATGATTAATGAAAGTGACTGGCTGGGTCTGTTTTAAATGCCTTGAGCACTGAACTTTTCACACAGAAGGAGCTTTTCAGCAGCACGCTTCACTGTGCTGGTTAAACTGCCTGGACTGGGCCAATCATCTGCCTTTTACCCGGCTCTTTTCAGCCCGTTTGCTTATTTCTTGCATAAAATTGCTCATTCACTGTACAAACTGCTGAAGCATCAGTTATGTGAAATAAATTAAAATGAATATTTTAATGCATATTTAGGTTGAAGAATAAAAGTAGTAGTGAAATTGCCAAAACACAAAACTCTTTGTGCTTCCAAATGAGCTCTCAAGAAAGAAACTGCCAGGTTGCTGGACTGGAAAAAACCTTACATTAAGATGAAGGTAAGATAGATCACAGGTGTCATGAAAACAACAGCTACGCAATGAACACTGTCAATTTAATGCTGCTCCCCGTACTGATTCCACCGAAGAAAAAAAAAAAAAGGTTAGGAGAAAAAACCAGAGCTAGCTGACCCTGATAAGTGAAAATACACTGGAGGCAGAACGGTTAGCTTGGGAAAGTTAAAAGAAAATACCTTAGACATTAGCAAAAAAGTTGTTGCTCAAGCACTGCAGGGGGTGGTGGACCTGATACACACAGAGAACTTTTCTGAGGTCCCATGGAGTTCAAAGTGCATCCAGATTAAAGACTCCTGATCTTAACCATCACCATACAGGCATAAGAGATTTCAAGATCATGCTAGAATGT